CAACGCGAGTAAGGCGCGATCAAGGATATCGGCGGGAGGAAAAGGGGAAAAAGTGCGGAGCGAGGCACGCGCGCGTGCGTCACGTCTGCGGCCTGAAGTTGTGTCCGCCCGTCCTTGCGGAAACGCGCGGTATCCTCCGTCGCGCGCGAGAAGTCTGTGTACACGCGGAAGAGGAACGTGTGCCGGAGAACGCCGAGCGAGCGCCCCGGCTCTGCGAGTGTGAGTCGAGGACTCCCGAGGTTGCTCTCCGACGCGCGATATTTCGCGGCGCGCGCGCGCGCGCTTGTCGTTCGTTTTGTACCTCGCGGCGTGACTCCGTCGCGCTGATTACGCAACGCGTGGCCATGAGAGCGCCCCGCGCGCGCTCACACGCACGTGGCACGCACACAGACGCGCCCACAAAAGTCCGTCCACGGTGTCATCGCAGGACTGGTCGCGCGCGATTATCGGATATCGCCGCCGATGTTTACGGCAACGCGGGTCGGCGGAACGCGCAGGCGCGAGCGCCGATGTTATCGTCGAAATTAACGGGGGTACGGATTCCGTTAATCGCCGATGTGTGTGTGCGAGTTTCTCTCTTTCTCTCTCGCGCCGTTTTCTTCGACGACGACGAGGCGCGTTAGGCCGTTTCCACTCCGTCGTTGGGCGATAACGCGCCGCTGTGTTTGTTGCTCACCGCGGCGCGCGATTTCTCGCGATTCGCCAGGCGTGCAGGTGGAAAAGAAGAAGGGGGTTGCGAGCGTCCTCGGACGGTTGAGAACCGCTGTTATGGTCTAAGCTCGCGCGCGAGAGAGAGAGAGAGAGAGCGAGCGAGCGCGTGCAAGGTTCATCACGCGCGTGTAGGCGTGCATGGCGCGCGCGCGATGACTTGTAGGATGAGGCGCAAAGGCGTACCTCGCGTCTAGGAGTTCACGTGTATAGCTGATATTATTTGGGCAGCGCGCGAACGAGCGAGCGGGCGAAACGCATCGCCGTTTCGTCATGCGATATAAATGATCGTGGTGTCAACGATATTGAAGCCGAGAGAGCGAGAGAGAGAGAGATATCGGAGCGGAAATATTATTAGTAGCGCGTGTCTCGCTGGTCATTAGCGTCCTCTGCTTGCGATCGAGCGAAATGACTGACAGCAGTCTCATTTTGCGACTACCGGCGGTTTTGCGCGGAATAATAACGTCGTTTTTTCCGGCTGTTTTTTTCCCCCGTTTGTACTTTGTTGCCTCGTGTTTTTTTTTTGTCTCCCCCATCCAGCGATCGAAGCCCGCGGAAAGTGGATTAATCGAGCGACGACGACGGTCGCGCTGCGACCGTCACGCGAGATTATGCCGCATTCTCTCGAGCAGTAATAATGCCGATTACGGTGTGACTTTTATTTACGCCGTTCATCCGATGCAACACGCGCACGCGCGTGCAAACGAGCGAACGAGCGCGCCCGACAGAGGCGGGCGAGCTCACTCGCGTATTGATGATTCGCATTCCTCGTATCTTCGATTATGATGTTTGCGCCGCCTCGGATGAGGTAACGGCGAATTAATCTCGCGGCGCCGCCGCCGTCGACGACGACGACGAAGTCGTCGTCGTTGAATTCGTACCTTCGGGCCTTCCTGCGCGCGCGTGTGTTCTCGCAGCCGTAGAAAATAAAAAACCGGCTGTGCTCGGGTGCGAGTATCGAAACGACGATGAGCAAACATGAGAGCAAGAAAGAGAGAGGGGGGGGGGGAGAGTTCTTCGGTGGTTTTTACTTGCTTACTTACGTCTCAGAGAACGCAGTTGTGTACACTGTCGTAGTCATCGTTTGCGTCTGGTGAGTCCTTTTCGCGCTCGGCTCCTCTTCTTTCTGCCGAAAATCGAGCTATCGATGTCGCCGCTGGTATCGGCCGCGTCGAGGATCGGGGAATCTGTCATCTCCTGGGAGAAGGAGAGAGAAAGGGGGAGAGGAAGAGAGAAAGAGAGAGAGAAGCGCGTGAATGAATGTAGAAATTTCGATACTTTGTACCTCATTTAGCACCTAACATTTTTTTTTTTATTAAATAATTGTTACCGCTCCGATAGTTGAATGTTCGTTGTGCGAACTTATTTGAAGGTAGAGAGAGAGAGAGAGAGAGAGAGGTAATCCAAATAAGGACATGTTCCATTCGAAGACGTAACATGGCGTGGAATTCATTTATGTTAACTTTGCGAGACTCGCTCGCGCCACATTGATCGGCCGGTTTATTCCTGTCCCTATTTTTCCCCCGACAAAGCGCGCCGGGTTTCGGATAACGCGAAAGTCAATTTGCGGCACGGATGATCGCGCGAATCGTCGTCGGCGCACACACGTGACGCGCCGTGGCGAGATCTCGATCTCGGGAATCGATAATAATTTGTGCGACCGGGGGCCGAGTTAACAGAAGTCGGATCTCTCATCGGTCCGGATATCGGCAGAAAGGCCTTAGCGACGGCGAAACGTTGATTTACCTATTCGTCGGTGGAGCAACGGACGGACGCATCGACCGATTGCTCGTAATCGTCGTCGATAACGGAGGCGACGGTTTCGACGACGAGAGGATCGCCGATTCCTTCGTCCCCCTTATCGCGGCAAAACTGTACAATCGGCGGAGGGAGGGCGGAGGCAACATTTTACACTCTTTTTACCTCGATGAACTTTTAGAAAGTGTTCGGCGTGTACCCGGTGGGAAAATTTCTCTTCTGGAGGATTACGAAAAAAAAATCAATTCCCCCTTCGGGTATACGGAGATACGCCGTTGTGAAACTCATTGAAAAGGAAACCGTGTTGCAACCATTCATTCCGCCACGGACTATATCACCTCTAACCTTCGATAAAACCTTAACATTTAACTGGCCAGCGCTCACCGGTCTTTCCAATCGCCACATCGTGTCTGGGTATGCGTCTACAAACATTTATCCGCTGTGATCTGTCTATTTCGTCAACTTGACGCGTCGTTATATCATATCGGACGATATTACATCCGAATGACGGGAAGAATTCGAAAGATTAGGAAGATTTAGTTGAGCCTCGATTCGTCAGTACATATCGAGACCTCGTCGATGTTCGCCGCGCGCTCATAGTCGGCGCGTGTCGACAGGGGAGAAAAATCGTGAGGAAAGTTTCTTTCGCAATCTTTCTCCCACCATTCGCACGTTCGGTGGCAAAAAGAGATCACCTTCGCTTTCGACAAACCGCAATATGCGTCGTCCGGTACGTCGTATCTACGATAGGGAAAAATCTCCCGAGAACCGATAAAACAAATTGTCCTGTCAGACACGAATATGGAAATCGCGGAAAAAGTGTTGCAGCCGTCTCTCTGCCGTGACTACACAGACACAGACAGACAGATACAGAGTGCATCGATTTGGCGCGTTGCGTTGGATAGGACCGGCGGATTGACAGCGCACAATGCGGGACATTTCCGAATTCTATCGCAACCTTTTCATCATTGTCTCCCGGATCGAAATGTGCTCACCGAGTCGTGCTCGCTCGCTCGCTCGCGCTGCAACGCGATCGTCTCGTTACGCGTTCGGCCGCGTAATCCGATCGCGCCGCGGGCGTTTTCCGCTTTCGCGGGCTAATTGATACCTCTCCGCAGCTCGCTCGGCCGTCTCGGATGCCGTAATATAATTCGACGTTCCCGCGAGTGTGCCGATCCCGATCGTTAAAGGTCGATTTCTCGTTCTCTCTCTCTCTCTCTCTCTCTTTCTTTCTCTCTCGCCGTCTCGCCATGGTGTTGTCGAGCTGCCTGCCATTCACCGTGAAAACCGTACGTACGCTCTCGCTCTGGTCACCGACAAGGTCGCGCAAGGTCGCGCAACCAAGCTGCTGCATCCATGCGCCATATGCAGCGGCGCGTGTGTGTGTGTGTGTGCGTATTTGCGCGCTTACGTGTGTGCGTTTATGTGAGACGCAGGTGGATGACGACGACGCGATACTCGCCCGTTCGGAAGATACCCATCTAGTTGGTCGTAATTGACTAATTAATTCGGCGATCAATCGACGTGTCCCCCTCTTTGGGAAACCGCGTGTCGTGGGGTTCTTCCGCCCTCCCGTTTTGACCCTTCGGTGTGTCACATTCGCATTTCACCGGCCGATCTCGTCGCTTTGTCATCGCGCGCGCTTCTCGCACCCCGTGCGAGCTGTGACACACGCACACACACACACACATGACTGTGATTTGCGCGCGAAAGCAGCGGCTCCCGGCTATCGATCCGAATGCGTAGAAAATGCTATTGATTCCCTCGGCCGACCCGACGACCTCTTCTCTCTCTCCATGGCGACGATCCGAGAGGAGAGGTTGGCGGATGTAGAGTTTTCTCTATCTCTCTCCTACCCTGTCCTTTTTCAATCCTGTTTCCTGATTGCGATCTCTTTCGTTCCGCCGTGTTGCAATATATATATATATATATATACATGCCGCGAAAAGTAAAAGCGTGGAAACGAACGATATCAATTAACGGAGATCGTGAGCGGGGACAGAGAGAGAGAGAGAGAGAGAGAGAGAGAGAAAACTCGTTTAATTATAACGACGTAAATAGACAAAAGCGCCTTTTTCTTCCTCACGTCAATTTCGATCGATCGTCCCCTCGCGGTGTCTCCTCATCTCCGCAGAGACGAAACATGTCGCGCGTACGTGACCGCGTCTGGAAGGGGTGAGAGGAGGAGAATCGCATAAAAGGCAGACACGAGTCAAGCTAGTCGCCTATTCGCTGCCTACCTACGTCCTCCAGGGTCGTACACCCACGTCCAATCCTCCATCTCGTTCCCCTCTTCTCCTCAAAGTCGTCTTTGTAGTTTCAAGAGCCTAGATGTGCTATAAGCGGAGAGAAAGAGAGAGAGAGAGAGAGAATGTATCGTGTAGAAAATCTGAAATTTCGATGCTTGGGAGCGAGAGTTTGTTCCGTGAGACAAAAAGGGTTAAGACGAATATTCGGTTGAAGTTGAAGACATTCAGATTGAAGGATGCTCGTTCACGTTTGCTAACCGCCATTTTCTCCCTTTTCTGCGATAGGTCACGAATAAGACGGACACGATAATCCGCGGCCGATGAGGAGCACAGCACGAGGACGAGTAGTAGAAGAAGAAGAAGAAGGAGCAGCAGCAGCACGAGCAAACACGAGCGGCTTCGTCGTCGAGGTGGAAGGTGGCGGCGCGGAAAAGCAAAAGGGACGACGAGGACGACGAAGTGGCGGCGGCAGTGGCAACGGCGGGAACGCGACCAACAGCCAGGTCCCATGTTAGCGGACATCAACGGCAATTTGGCGGATCTGAGAAGCGAAGCGATGGCGTCGCAGAGGTTCTGTCTGCGCTGGAACAACCACCAGAGCAACCTGCTCTCCGTCTTCGACCAGCTGTTGCACGACGAGTCGTTCGTCGACGTTACGCTGGCTGTGGAGGGTCAGCTACTCAGGGCGCATAAGATGGTGCTGTCGGCGTGTAGCCCTTACTTTCAGGTGAGGCCTCTTTGTCTTCGCGTGTCGGTATTTCTGGCATGGCGCATACAAATAAAGAAAGCGGATCTTATAAAAATGCTAATGTAAAAATAAACTTTATTGGATAAAATCATTTCCAGAGGATAGACGACGGGAGAGAATACGAGATGAAGAAAATTTTCTTCTTGTGTAAAAAGAGTTCGCTTACGCAAATAAATGAATAAGCTCGATCTTTCGTAACTAACGCGAGCGGTAAAATTGCTTTTCTCCTTGCGCGCAGGCCCTGTTCATCGGTCACCCCGACAAGCATCCTATAGTCATTCTGAAGGACGTGCCGTACGTAGACATGCGCAGCCTGCTGGACTTTATGTATCGTGGCGAAGTAAGCGTCGATCAGGATCGGCTGACCGCGTTCCTACGGGTCGCCGAGTCCCTCAGGATAAAGGGTCTGACGGAGGTGAACGAGGACAAGTGCGACCTGCCGAGCATCACGTCGTCGCTGTTGGGCGGTGCTCAGAACACGGTACCACCGCCGCCACCGAACCTCCACCGGATCAACCAGATCGGTCCGCATCACCACCACGTCTCACAGAAGAGGTTCCACCACATGTCCAGCCACCCGCTGCTGGGCTCGGCGTTGACCGCGCCCAAGAGGAAGCGTGGCAGGCCGAGGAAGTTGAGCGGCTCGTCGGACACGCCGATCGGCGAGGCCGCTGGCCAGGATCTGCAGTCGTGCTCGGGCGCCGATCTCGTCCAAGGCTCGCCGGAGATGATGGAGATGAAAATGGGTCTGGATTTCCAGAGCGAAGCGAGCGGCAACGGCGTGAGGAGCGGCGGTCAAGCCGCGAGTGGCTCCTCGAACAGTGTGACGGGCTTCGCGACCGCCAACAATCCCGCCGCCACGGCCTCCTCGGGCGCGTCGGCGAGGAAGGATGAACCGACGGAAAACGGCACTGACACCCCGGAGCCGCCGCTGACGCGGGTCAAGCGAGAACCGGAACCGACGCCCAGTACCTCGGCGCAAGGTAAGCGAAGGCACGCGAGAAAGAGAGGGAGTGTGTAAGCGAATTAGAGTCCCTCAAGTAAGAGTCTGCACATCTCCGACTTTCTGCTCGAAAATGGCGTCTGGCTTGTCACTGGAAGTATCTTGCGTACGAAGGGCAATGCTATTTCCTAAAAATATTTATTTTATCAATGATATACCGATGTGTGCACTTTTTTTTTTCCAAATAAAGATTTGTTTCCGAAAGAGTCCCTTAATTAATAATCCTCAATTCCGCGACTTTTACCAGAGGGACTCGAGAATGAATGAATATGTCATTGGCGTTCGAAAATCGCGAATCCATATGCTGACGTGCGTCAATGTTGATTTTAGCCTCGGATGAGACATTCGCGCGACCGCACAGTAGACAAGGGAGTGAGGGCTTCAAGCAAGGTAAGATCTTCATCTTAACTCGACTGCGATTACACACGGAGGAAGCGTCGATTACGACGCGTCTGTCTCGTTAACCCTACACAGCGCGACAAATGTATGACGAACCTTCGTAAACCGAACCATCGGTGACATCGCGCGAGCGGTGTCTCTCGGACGGAGAGCTGCGCCGCGCGGCTTTGCAAGCCACAATCCTGAAGGATCGATCGCTCGATTACTCAAGGACGCGCTTTTCACACCGTCGTTCGCGTATCTGTCGGAACACCAGTTTCCTCGAATTTCACTACTTATTCCTCGCGCGATGACAGATCGGATTTTTCATTTATTCTCGAGGAATATCTTATATCCTCTCGAAGACACACATACACACACACACACACACACACACACACACATACGAGTCATCCGATCAAGACCCCCTAACGGGGTTAATCCTCCGCGGCACACTCAATCCTTGCGACGTATTGCGCGGAGAAATTTCTTTCATCGACGTATGTTGTCTTTCCCTCGATTGTTACACTATCGATTTGAAGAACGTCTTGCTAAAGACTGTGGTACAAGGTAAGTCGCGAAACGCGTCAGTGCGAGGCAAGATGCGCGCTCTCGAGATTTAACTCGCGGCCGAAATGTGTGCGATCGGCGAAAAAGAAAGAGACGTGGTTTCGCGGACGCGACATCACGCGACGGTGGAGTCGTCGCGACGACGGGATTCTCGCGCGCCCAAGTAGCCTGGCGAAGACGCCGCCCCGCTAGACGTGTCTCTTAGCATGGTGTGAATTGTGGTTCCCATAACCGCGGGCGCGGAGAAGAATGCTGCGGCAGTGCGTCACAATCCGTTCCTTATTACCGCGATTATCGTTCCTCCGCGTTAAAACTAGAGCGAGAAGATTAGGAACGAGTAGTCTTCTCTCTCGCTCTTCGTCTCATCATCGGCTTTCAATCGCGCGGAAGACGCGGTAGCGGTGTTTATCACAGGCTCTCCGATGAGCGATTTCTTACATTAACGACGCTGTATTTTATTACCGACGCCCGACGCCGAGAGCATCATTCTTCTCCGCGCTAACCCGAGGACGGGGAAAGAAACACACGCTTTTGTGCCGTCCGAACGCTTTAATATTCGCCTCCTGTGAACGCGCCCCGAGGAGCAAGCAAGCGAGCGAGCGAGCGAGCGAGCTAGCTAGCTGACGAGCAAACGAACCTCGCGCGGCGGGATTGTTGATAGACGACGCTGTAGACTCTCTACGTGAGAAAACGACTCTCTCGCACGATTCGTCGAGGTCGATCGACGACGTATGAGACTCGGAAAGTAAGTCGGCGCTGGCCCGACCGCGATCCGATGAAGGGCCACGCGCCGAGAAATTATATATATATATATATATATAATTTGCATATATATAATAATATGTATATACACATCTCTCATTATCGCGACACACACCGCGAAAAGTCCACACTTCGCGACGATGATGATGATCACTTGCGCGACGAAGATCCGAATTAATATTCGCGTCGTCGTGGACAAAAACACGTTTTTACCCGATGTGCTAATGAGTTTGACTTTTCAGAATTATCTCGAGCTGTCGAGCGCGGCTCGTCGGTCGTGTTGTCGCCTACCCTGCGAGCGCGCTCCTACCTACAATTTTTTTTTCTAGGAGCCCAGCCAGGACTCGCGACCACGACGAAATGTCGAACTCGCGAATTCGAGCGCGCGCGCGCGCGCGCGCGGACGACCTTCTCGAAAAACCACCCCGCGACTCGCGGCTGTTGTTTGTATCACACACGATATATACCGGAATAGTGATTCCCTCGCGAGCTCGACCACTTCTTTTCGAAACGAAACGCACACGATGTAAAATCAAACAGAGAGTAAAAGCCAAAGCCAAAAAAAAAAGACGGTATATTCCGACGAGGAGAGGAAATTCCGCGTCTACACGGAGCTTGCGTCTCCGAGGAGAAAGGGGAAAAAAGTACGAGGAAAAGTAATAATAACAATAAAAAGCGACTTGTCGACGAGTTGAAAACGATAAAAAAAAAGCGAATTTCCCTTCCTGAGCGCGAGCGGTGTTCAAGTCGCGAGAGCAAAGAGAGAGAGAGAGAGAGAGAGATAGAGATAGATAGAGAGAGAGAGATGGAGAGAGAGAGAGAGAGAGAGAGAGAGAGAAGAAGAGAAAAGAATTGAGATGCAAAGTAAAAAGGATACAACGAACGGAACACACACGCATCCACAGCACACAGACATTTACAGACACAACGACATTCACAACACACAGACACACGCTTCCATACAACGCACATAGACACGCAGAAATACGAGAGAAGGAGTGTAGAATGTGTCGGAGAGAAAGAGAGAAAGAGGAAGCCGTCGTCTCGTTAACGAAAAGAGTTCGTGCGTTCACACTCGGAATCCGGATCCGAAGATCACAGTCCGTGACGAGAATTCCGAAAAACCGGGGGATTCCCTTTTCTCGTGTGAGCAAGAACGTCTGCTGCGAATTAATCGCCGATTGTAGTACCCCATATATATATATATATGTATATATATGTATACACACATACATGTATATCGCGCACTTATAGCCGCCGGTTTTGTTCTCGTCGAGGACGTGCATAATAGATACATCTAGATACATACATACGTAATAACCCATACGTAATCACGCTCGGCCAATGCGCAGCGCTTCGTTCCTACCTTTTCCTTCTCCTCCTCCAGCCTCTCCTCTCAGCACAAATACACGCGCAAACAACGTATACACACACCGACATGCAGACACACCGACACAAAGTCACACAAATCAGCCACCTTCGTCATCTCTTGCCTCTTCATGATCGACTTCTGCGTCTTCTTTCTGTCGCACCGCACCTGTCGCTCTGTTGTTCGATGTCTCGGACCTATTCTAAATTTCCCTTAATCTACACATACATACATACACAAATACATATGCTCATACATGGAAGAGAGATGCATACACACGTACATCACCACACCGTGTTACAAAAAACACCGTTCACTCTCTTCTCCGCACGAATAAGAAAAGCTTCGCTGCCATTGGCCAAAGGTAACAGGAGGGGGTGGAGCCAGCTTTTAGCGGTGCTTACTTACTTTTTTTTGTTGTCTGATTTTTCACACCTCGAACGCTGGTTAACTTCTTTTTCACGCTCGTTCGTTGCGAGGAGGATGTACAATAGAGAGAAGTCTCATTTTCTTCTTTTATTGCGGAAAGACAGACAGCAAAGCAAGAGGGAGACGTGAAGAAAAAAAAAAACGTGTCGTTGATAACGATGTCGGTGATAACGATAATAATGATGACGGGGAAGTGGTGGTGGAGGAAGAGGAGGAGGAAGAGGAAGGAGAAGTATACTTAACCGACAGACGACGTGTGTGTGTCGGCAGGTTTTGTCACTTCCGCCTCCTCTTGCGTTCTTCTCGTTTGCCTCTTTAGATGATAACGACGACAGTGAGAGAAAGAAGAGATTGATAGCAAAGGGAGAGATGTACGTAGACGAGGAAAGATATCGTAGAGAGAGATCACGATAGATAGATTAGTGTGTAAAGATGCAAGACAAAAAGAAGAAGCAGACCACGAAAAAGAGAGAGAGAGAGAGATCAGAGGAGAGAAAGAGAGGAGGAGCAGTAGTGTGACGTACGTTTCTTTTTTTCCGTATTCTTGCAAAAAGAGATACCACGTGTACGTGCGCGCGCGCGAGAGAGACGGGGGGCGGGGAAAACAGAGTGCTCGAAGATGTTGTCGTCGGTGACGATCTCGTTTCTCGGTAGTGACCGTGTGATCGCTTTGTTCACTTTTGGCGCAGGTGAGTTGAGATTATCACCATCATTCGATCTGTTGAGAGATTTTTTAAGCTTTTACGCGGGGGAAGCGAGGGTGAGCTAGGGAGGCCAGCCGCTAGAAAAAAATTAAAAAAAAAAACGATCTAACGAAAAAAAAAACAAATGTCGAAGTAAACCGCATATAGATAAATAATCGAACGAAAGGAAAAAAAACAAACAAAACCGAAAAAAAACAAAAGACGTTCCGAGAGAGTGCCGGAGTGTAAGAGAGAGAAAGCCGGATTATTGGGAAAGGATGTGACGCCCCGGAGGCCGAGAACGGATATGTAACCATGTGTTAATAAATAGAAAAATAATTGTTATATAAGTCGAACCAAATTATATATATATACATACATATACATGTGCATATATATATGTATACATCTGCGTATACGTTAAAGTAAAGAAAAAAAAAAACAGTAATAATAATAATAATAATATTAATAATAATAATAAAAACGCACACGAAGAAGAGAAAACGTTGCTTTTTTTTCTCGAGCGTCCTCGATCTCGATGGATCGTCTTCCCGTAGAGATGGATACAAGCAGACTGTGACTGGACGCCACTTGGACCGGAAAAAGGGGGTTGGCGAGTGTGTACATGTGTCGCTGGTAGTGTGTCTAATCGATTGCATAATTGCACCTGTGATGCGTGTACGGGCTGCTCGGGGAAGTTACGGTCCTTCCTGTCGATCACGGATCTCGAGGGCGGCGGGAACGCGGTAATTAAGCTCTCCCGCACACACTTAATCGGGCTCGAAGGAGAGGAGCTCGATTGTCGCGTCGATGTCGCGCCTGTGTTTTGTTGTTCGAACGATCCCGCGTCTTCGCGACGGATCGCGACGACCGACCGTCCGACGGTCGGACGTTCGAACAAGAAGCCCGATATCGCCCAACTGTCTCCTCGAAATCCTCGTGATCGAGCGGAAGCGCCGTGTTGCGCGTCCCCCGCACACGGAAGAGAAAACTCGGTTCCTGCAACTGAATAGAGGGGCCAGATGAAAATTCGGTGAGACGAGAAATGATGTCTCTGAACTGAGAACTGGCTTGTGAACATTCGGCTGCGTTAAAAAACTCGGCTGAGACTCGACTGAGAGAGCAATTGCGTGAGACCTCTGTAATGGGGAGAACCTCCTTCGGGAGAGAGAATCCTTCTGTTCTTACAGTCCGAGTTTTCGTCTGGTCCCCGGGCAACGGGAAATTCAGTTACACCAACGGAATTCTCCTTTTCCGTGTACGTATGGTTTTCCATGGGCTTGTGTACGTGTGATCGCGGGAACGCAAGCGCAAGTGTGACGTGTTTCACGATTGAATGGGAGAATGTGTGGGTTTGTATGCGTGTGAGGTGATGAACGGCGGATGTGTGTGAGAGGGAATGAGAGGGTGAGAGAAAGAGAGAGAGAGAGAGAGAGAGAGAGAGAGAGAGAGAGAGAGAGAGAGAGTCAAGATTTCGGAGACGGGAAAGAGACGGAAGACTGACTATAGTGAACTGTGCTGGGAAAGAAACTGTTCGTTTCGCGACTTGTGCCGAGAGAGTGCCTCGACGGATGTGTGAAAGTGGAAGAGTCTGAAACGAGGGTTGGACGACGACGGGGCGGGGGCGGGGACGTGGAGAGGTCGTGTTTGCAGCGTGTTAAAAAAGTACAATATATATATATATATCTGTATACGTATATATACATTCTTGACGCGCGGGGACACAGAGTTTGACTGAGAAACGGCCGATTCGAACACGGTAACTCTTTTTTGCTGGCTCTACCCTTCCTCTTGCTTCCCCCCACAAATATAGAAATATATATTTATATATATGTTACGTTGTGCCGATATACAGTATCATACACAGAGATACGTAGTCACGGTGTGCGGTAGAACTCCGTTTATCAGAACACCCCGCGGGAAAAAAGAGAGAGACACACAGAGAGAGAGAGAGAGAGAGAGAATAAAAAAAAAAGAAAACAGTTGAGAGACGCAGCGGAAACTCGAGAGACAATGATCATTATTCCAAAGTCGATTTGCGAACACACTTGTGTTGTCGTGCTTAGAGACAGACGGTTTTGAACGAGAAGTACGATCTGTGTGATAAGGAATAATATTCGAAGCACCAGAACTGTCCGCACGACGACGATCCATTTTTCTTGTAGCACAAGAGTAAGACAAATGTAATTCGACACCGACGACGGTGTAACGGAGAAAAAATCTGTCGGGATAGAGATAACGCAGTGCTGAAAATATACGTATGTATCCGCTGAAATTATCCTTCATCTGTGCGATATCACGCCGCCTTTCGAGGCCGAAACAAAAAAAAAGTCCGGGCGAAAACGTAGCAAGAATGTCAACGTGGCTTCTTCTTCTGATAAACGGACGGCTACCGCGCATCCACACGATGCTTGTACGAAAAATATATATAGATTCACTATTGCGGGAATGGAGAGCGACTTAAAGGACCGAGATTTCTTCGTTTCAGAACTGGAGGAGACGTCGAGCGGCGGCGGCGGCGGCGATTGCGAGCCGCCGACTCACATACGCATCAACTTCGAGCGATGCTTTCGCAAGGAGTTCAGCACGTCGACGTTGCAGGGTAAGGCCGCGGCCGCCGCCATGTTCGACGATCAGCAGCAACAGCAGCAGCAGCAGGTGCACTCGGACTCCGAGACCGAGGCGAAGATGTCGAAGGACAGCATAAGCAGTGCCATATTTAATCTGGTGGCCGGCGAGGCGGAGATCAGTCAGAGCGACTTCGAGGGCTCGTTCAAGGCGGAGAACGAGCGCACGGAGGGCTCGGTGCGGGACTTCTGCGTGAAGGAGGGCGACGTTTACCGGTGCACCGTGTGCCATCGCACCTACACCCACATCAGCAACTTCTGCCGGCACTACGTCACCTCGCACAAGCCTAACGTCAAGTACTACGCCTGCCCGGTCTGCTCCAAGGAGTTCACCAGGAAGGACAACATGGTCGCCCACGTGAAGATCATACACAGCTACAAGCAGCCGATGAGTCTCAGCAACAGCAGCGGCAGTATGGGCCAACAGCCGCGGTAGACCGCCGCGTCCTCTCGTCCCGCCTCCTCCCTCGCCCCCGACGACGGCTTGCCGCGTCGTCTCGCGGACCCTGCCGCCAGCGGAATCCGCGACACGTAACGCCACCGGGGACTCCTTGGTGCCGCGGTACCGTCGTCATGTTCACGCTCGCGGTCTGTCGGGAGTCTGTGACAAAGCCGCGCGATCCTCCACAATCGTGGGAGCCTCGGGTGGCACCGAGCTTCCGCGTTACCGAGGGTAGCTTCGATACCGGTGATTAGCGATAGATAGAGCCTTAGACAGTAACAAGAGGGGGAGGATGATTATATCGTAGAGTCCGCGCTGTCACAGAACGGCGGTCTTTTCACGACCGCGAGTCTCAAATTCGTCGCATATCGACGGGACCAAGGAACGTCGTCGAGGGGGCGGAGGAGGAGCTCGAGAAGAACGCGAGAGAGAGAGAGAGAGAGAGAGAGCGAGAGAAGCGCCTCGTAACGAAGTCAGTGCGCCCCCGCGAGCGCGCGGGGAGATGCGAGAGGAGTAGATAGGTAGATATGTATAAGCGGTAGATAGGTAGGCACAAGCGGCTGATCTTACGGAAACGGCTACGGGGAAGGCGGCAAACCGGGAGGGTGAGGGAGATGTGCAAGATTCAAGGCTATGAAACGTCACCGCCGGAGCGCGCGATTCTTTGCTGCCGCCCACGAGAGCGTTTCTCCCCGTGAGTTTCCGGCGTCCCGGCCACGAAAGAAAAAATAAACGACACTAGCTAGCCAGCCCTTCGAGGGCCGGTCGTCGTCGTCATCATTGAGCTTACAGAGAGAACGGACGTGTTTTGTGAGATACAAAACTCGTCTCACGTCCCCACACTATTTTAGCTACGTGACGCGGACGCTGTGTCGCCGCACAGCACTGGTTCCGATCCTTTTAGATTTTTTAAGGAACTTGAAGGAGATTAAGAGAGAGAGAGGGAGGGAGATGATGTATTCTGGCTCTCGAGAGAAGTTAACGTGGCGAAAGAGAGAGAGAGAGAGAGAGAGAGAAAGAAAGAAAGAAAGAAACAGAGATGGAGTCACTCTCTATCGGGACGTTGCGCGATTCGTGAACGCGAGGCATGGGTCTGACCAAGTCCAGTATGCGTTAATGTGAACTCTGAAGCAGCTACTAAAGTAATTTCACTTGTACGATACTTAAATTAGCAGGGTGGTTGCGCCAATGCGAGGCCGTTGCTCGGTACTTTTTTTGCGACGGTGTCCCTTTTGGCACCCTGTTTCACGGGCAGCTTTCTCTAGAATCCACGATGACCTGCCCCTCCCCCACGACATATCAACCCCTCGTCCTGATCCTGGTTCTAGTGCTAGTTTTGTAGTTTATCTTTATCGATCTCCGTGCCTTCGAGGACCCCGCGACGCGCGCACGCCTCGGACCGTCGCATCGCGCAACGTCGACCGCGTTCCGGAGAATCGCGAGTAGAGAGAGAGAGAGAGAGAGGCTCTCCTCCGGAACAGGCGGCGGAAACTCACCGCGGGAAATGGCTCGTGCGTGTAACCAGCAAGCAACGGGCATTAAAAGTTTTACAATACAAACGAGCTTTACTCGCCGCCGCCGCCTCCCGCTCTCTCTCGGCTCTCCCGAGGCGAGGGAGAGAGAGAGAAACGGGAGGGCGCGAGTCGGCACACGGGGGCTCTCGTAATAACGGAGGACCGGAAGAGGCTTTGCGTACCGTGTAAAAAAGATGAAGTTTGTACAATACGCAACCGACGCGCGCTCGTTGTTACACTTATCAGAACGTGGTTCTGCGTTGTTCGACGGGCGAACAGTTGTCAAAACAGCGCTTGGCGACAAGAAGAGAGAGATATAGAGAGACAGGGAGTGACAACGTCGTGTGTAGTAAATCCAAATGAACGCAGCGAGAGAGGAGAAGAGAGGGGGTGATAAAATGAGAAAGATAGAGAGAGAGAGAGAGAGAGAGAGAGAATATATTTACTACCGCCTGACTATATTACGTTGCAGAGAGAGAATCAAACACGCCGGCTGGTGCAGCGCGGCAAATACATTTCTGCGCGGCGCGTTCACGCGCGGATGTGCACGTGTCTCAGTTCACCCGGGGACTTCTGGCCTCTGACACGCTCTTGGAGCGTTCCCCGACGACAACAGGTCTTCGACTTACCGATCTGACGTTTTTGCGGTTCTCGGCATTCGCGCATGCGACACAAACACAGGGTACTCGATACGGGATCACACTCGCGATGACCGTGCAGTCGTCGTCGCGCACAGCAATAATAAAGCAACTAAGCTGTCGAAGTGGCAGCTGGAGGTTCCAAGGGGAACATGTTGATTACGTGTAGTATCTTATATATTCGTTTAGTCGTCGAGGAAGAGAGAGAAAGAGAGATATAAATATATATGTATGTATACATATATATATAGAACTTATACAGAGTAGATTCACGATATATTCTGATGTTCATATCAAAGGGAACTGAGGGGAAGGCGAAGAGAGTGCTAGAGGAGGAAGTGAGACGAAGATGAGACGCACGCACACATGCGCGCGTGAACGCGTACACGCGCGGTATAAGTAATAAGGGAACTACGTAGACTGAGTAAATGCAATATGTATATGTATCGATGACCGTTCGCCATGTTGTTGTTGAGCCGTTGTGTCACGAAAGGGTGATGATGACGATGGTGGTGGTGGTGGTGGTGGTGGTGATGGTGGTGGTGATAGAGTGACGACAAGGGACAAAAAAGAGATAGATAAAGAGAGAGTGAGAAAGAGAGNAGAGAGAGAGAGAGAGAGAGAGAGAGAGAGAGAGAGAGAGAGAGAGTGCTGGGACGGAACGGGACGCGCAATCTCGCGAAAGACTGCAGAGGGACGGTTTTAACGACACCAAATACAAGATAGTACTGACATTGGATAGACTGAAGGCACCTTAGTAGTAACTTAACGCCGCCGCCATGTCGCGCCGCGCGCGTCGTACCGTCCGATCGGCCGAGTCACTTCCGGCGAACGGAACGAAGGGGGCGGCGACGGGGACAGCTCGACGACTCGAGTCTTTATCTGGGTGGGTTCTCTCCCCACCTGCTCTCTTGACCTTGCATCTTAACCCTCTCCGACAATGCAATAGAAATCTCTCAAGCTCATATTTCCGTTTCCGACGCCAGCCTCGTTTTTAACATTATCTTTCCCATCGAAAGNCGAGCTCCAGATGCCCCCCCCCCCCCCCGTCGAAGAGCCCCGAGCAATCGACGCGCGAAGCGCGTGATTTTTGCAGTTGAAACTAGTTTTACTCACAGACTCGACGCTTCAGTCTTTGCAGTCTGCGATTTTATCATCCTGACAATCAGACCGGAATTTTAGCGATAATTGAGGGAGAAAAAAAAGAGAGAGAGAGAGAGAGAGAGAGAAGAAGGAAGAGAGAAAAAAAGGAGAAAACAAACTCGAATCGTCCCGTTATCGATATCAGAAGCGGACGGGGAAAATTGGATGAGGCACTCTCTTATAGTGGTCGAGGAGAACAAAATCGTCCGAGTGACGTCTTCGCGACTGAAACGGGCCGCGCGGTCGCGGTAATGGCGGTTAGAGGCTTAGTCGCGCGAGAAAGAGAGAGAGAAAGAGAGAGAGAGAGAGAGAGAGAGAGAAGGGGAGCACTAAAATACGATCGTAGCTTACTATATTTTGCACCTTACACTCCGTCGGGCGCCCTCCCTCCGACGTAGAGAGGGACGTAGACGATTTATATACAAATTTTTCACTAGCTGGGCATAGACGTTAGACGACTAGAGGCTACATAATAACTATAACAATTATTACGATTATTATTATTACTATTATTACTATTACTACTACTACCGCTACTATTAATTAGTTATCGCGAGTAACGGAGATCTTCGTTATTACTTTAATGCGCGCGCGGTGAGGCGCACGGGCGTCCCCGCCCCCGCGTGATCGACCAGTGTTATTCGTTCGTTATTCAAGAGAGAGAGAGAGAGAGAGAGGTATCTAGTGTTGCAAAGATAAAACAAAAGTTATAGTCCGTAAGGCGCGGATCGTTGTCGCGAGCAACGCGGGGCCCGACGCGACTCGGGATGCGAGTGCTCTCGTCGCTCTCTCGCCGAAGAGGCGCTCCCGAGAATAGGCGAAGGCATTTCGAATTTGAAGCGCTTTTCTGAAAAAAAAGAGGGAACAAGAAAGAAATCGAAGCTGTCGTCACTCCGGACGAGCTGATCTCGGCGGAGAATGCGGCCGCATTGGCCGCGGAACGAAGCGATCATTGAGCGGTCAGTGATCATTGGTCTTTACCATTGGACCCCTAGAATTAGACCAATTGTATCGACAAATTGCTCAACCGTTGTGTAATCGTGTCTTCTGAGCCGTTCGCTCGTTTCGAACCTGAAGTATCTTTCAATCGCCAGGTCGGAAGTTATATCCGCGCACGCGAACGGGGCGCGTCTTTAGAGAATGTTCGCGGAGCGAAGTTGACGGGGTTATCAAAGTTACCGAGAGCACAATCGCGCCCCCGTTTTTCGTCGGATGGGCCCCGAGGAAAAAATCGCGCGTCGCGATCCCGAGCGTACTTTTAGGCGAATAGAGAGCTCTATAATACTAGTTAGACAGGCAGCGAAGATAGCGAAGTAGACGCGTATAGGAGGAGGCAGGACGAAAGGAAACCGGGGAATTGGGAGGGGGGGAGGGGAATAGAAACGGCGATTGTCTCGACGACGAACGGATTGTTACGGTGAGGATTGGGAGGGAGGGAAGGGGGAAAGGTGGGCCGTGCCGTGGATTTTCGCGCACTCAGGTCAATTATCCGCAATATTATTCGAAATGTCGATGGACCAAAGAGCTTCTTCTTACCGACCCTCGTAGGTTTACTCATCCCGTGTGTGAGGACGGACGGACGAGTGTCCCGGAGAGAAATTCGCGTGGGTCCGGAATGCCCAGGATATGAATACAGGACGACGACGTGGTGCCATGTGCGCGCGTACGCAAGAGAGAGAGAGAGAGAGAGAGAGAGACGCGAAGCATTCTTCTTGCGGAGGGATTCACGGCGGAGCGCGCGCAGTTGTTAATAATTAAATCACGTGGAATTTTACGCCCGAAGTATTATACATATATACGCTTAGGTCGTCGGTCGAGGTCTTTCAAAGGCGCACCATCGAGCACAATCCTGGGCGGTTCCGGGCGGTCACGCGCACTCAGGTCAATTATTATCCGCGATATTCGAAACTTCGATGGACCAAAGAGCATCTAAGGACCCCGGACAGCTTCTTGTCCCCCTGTAAGGCTCCGTAAGGGGAAAATCGCGCGAGGGAAAGCTGGGTAACGAGAGAGGGCGGATGGGAGGGGGATGGTCACGGCCCGATCCCGCGGCTGAGTCGTCGTGTGGCCCCACGCGAGGAAGTGTGTGGGTCGCCATAAGAGCCCGTCCACAACGTGTATGTAATGTGTATGTGTGCAGTGGCACGGCGGGTAGGTAAGATCGTGGGGTTAGGGGGTGG